CCACCCCAATGGACATTCATTCATTCATTCATTCATCCATCACTGACACAGTTATTATCATGTATATAGTGCTATTTCTATTGTTTTATGACCATTGTCATTATTTTATTTCACTAGTCCTGCATGTTGACTCCCGAGTGGCGCAGTGGTCTAAGGCGCTGCATCGCAGTGCTAGCTGTGCCACTAGAGATCCTGGTTCGAATCCAAGCTCTGTCGTAGCCGGCCGCGACCGGGAGACCCATGGGGCGGCGCACAATTGGTCCAGGGTAGGGGAGGGAATGGCCGGCAGGGATGTAGCTCAGTTGGTAGAGCATGGCGTTTGCAACGCCAGGGTTGTGGGTTCGATTCCCACGGGGGGCCAGTATGTAAAATTGTATGCACTAACTGTAAGTCGCTCTGGATAAGAGCGTCTGCTAAATGACGTAAATGTTGGAGTTTGGCCCCTAAGATTTTCACTGTACCCTCTAATCACATCTGCAACCCTGTACATCAATCTGAATCAAGCCTTGACTGGTGCACCAAGCGTCATCATCAGAATGCCAATAAGTTCAAATATATTCCACATGATTTGTTAGTGTTCCAACTTGGGCGTAGTCATTGGACTAAAACTAGAGTTTTCTATTGGACAAATTCGGTTTAAGTCCCTCACCGTTTCATTCCGTTTAAGGAAAGTTTCGCAACAGAATCGGCGTAACGAATACACCCCTGACTTGTTAACGCGCCGTTGTTGCCGCCAAACAGGATGCTAGCCTCTCGACACTAAATAACAACATTGTAACTAAGGGAAAGGGTTCTTCTCTCTCAAATCTCATACATTCAAGAAATACTTCCAATGTTTTATTCTTGATTCATTTATTTTTTTTAAAAAAGGAACAACATTTGAAATGAATAACCTTACATATTTATATTTACCGTATTGGTCCGAATATAAGACGACCCTGATTATAAGACGACCCCCCGTTTTTCAACACAAACATTTAGAAAAACAGATTTGCAGACTAGATTTGCCGAACAAAGAACTTCATTTTATTTTAAAATAACAATATTAAAAACACAGTGAATTAAACACAAAGGCAAACTATGTACAGTATGATTCAAAATTAATATCAAGCAATAATAAAGCAACATTTTTAAATAACAGAGAAAATACAGGCCACACATTTAACTAAACTTAACAAAAATTCGCCAAACTTCTCCTCCGATGTCTCTCTATCCCTCACACACGTCCTCTGCCCCGCTGTGTTCGCTCTCGCTGTCATCGCTCCCCAGCTGCTCCGCTTCCACCGGCTCCTCCCAAAGCACGTCGTCCTCGCTGCCGTCCAATGCATTTGAGATGCAACATTTTTTAAAGCCATCGATGATGCTCTGTGAGGGAATAGCATCCCATGCATGCAGGATCCATTCACACAGTAGACGGACTGACGGCTTCTGTATTTTCCCGGTCGGTGTGAGTGCGTGGTTGCCAGACAGGAGCCACTCTGTGTATTTTTTTCGCAGGTTATCCTTGAAAGGCTTGTTCACAACTACGTCCAACACCTGTAGCTGGCTTGTCATTCCCCCTGGTATGATCACAAGATCCCCGTTCATTGCTCGCACCTGACTTTTCACGGGCTCAGTCAGATGTCCGCGGAACGCATCCAGAACGAGCATGTTCCTCCTCTTCCTCAGTCCCCCGTAGCGTGCGCCCCACACAACCTTTAGCCAGTCCACTACAAGCCCCGACTCCATCCAGCCCTTCTCCTGGGCGCGCACAATAATGCCAGCTGGCATTGGGTCCTTTGGCACAGTCTTACGCTTAAGAATGACATACGGGGGGAGTTTGCTGCCACCAGCGAGACATGTCAACATGACAGTGACGCGGCTCTTCTCGTTGCCCGTTGATTTCACCAACACAGACTTTTCTCCCTTTCTATTGACAGTCACCGATGTTGGCATGTCGAAATAAACGGGTGTCTGATCAGCATTGCCGATCTGATCCAGCGGGTAGGAGTGCTTCTTCCTCAGGTTGATAACAAAGCGCTGAAACGAAAGCAGCTTCTCTCCGAAGTCTGACGGCAGGTGTTGGGCCAAACTCGTTCTCCGTCTAAGTGACAGTCCATTACGCCGCATCATCCTACGACACCAGCCGAGGCTGGCTTTAAATCCAGTGATGTTGAGCTCTCTGGCGATTTCCAGGGCCTTAACCTGGATGACAGCTCTGGTAATGGGCATTCCCTCACTTCTTTTTTTCCCTGACATATTCAAAAACCCTCCGGTCAACCTCAATGAAACGACCACTTTGAGGACCACGGAAGGATTTTCGCTGACTGTTAGCATCTTTTAGACGTTGTTTTTCTGCTCGCCATCTTCTTACATTACACTCAGTGACCCCGAATGTCTTGGCAGCTTGGCAGTTGTTAGATGACTCTGCCTTATTGACAACCATTATTTTGAAATTGGCATCATAGCTCCTCCGCTGTTGTTTATTGACCTGGCCCACTTTTGAGCCACTTGTCTCTAAATGGTCAGCCTGTCTTTCCATCTTTAAACACCGGTAACGGGCTGGTTGTTAAGGACGCCTCTTCCCTCCGTCCGGAACGAATTTTTGGCGCCATCTGTGCCCGCGAATGTGTATTGACATTTAAAGGGAGCGCCGAAGAAGAGAAACTGCGCTCTGAATACTAGACCCCGAATATAAGACGACCCGACTTTTTTGGACCTATTTCGAGGGGAAAAAAGGCCGTCTTATATTCGGACCAATACGGTATGCACGTCATCATCTGCATGTGGAGACAAGGACAAGCCAACATCATCATTTCCCAGAAAAGTAAGAAAACAATCTCAGCACAATGACGTCATATCATATCATCATAAAAAGTAATCTGAGTGCAACATTTAGGCCCAGTTTCCCCAGACACGGATTAAGCCTAAACCTGGAGTAAAAAAACTAATTTCCTACCGGCATTGTTTTTAGTCCAGGACAAAGCCTAGTACGTGTCCAGGAAACGTGCCCCTAAAGAACTAGTAGGTGCGCCTCACTCAGTTTTACGCCAGACATGATCAACTTTTTTGCTTTCCCTGAAAAAAGCAGACCAGGAGTGGCCTTGTCCCAATACATTTTGTTTGTCACGCGTCCAAGTGAGCAGACGGAAACAAACAGGCAGCCAGGCCGTAACAAGAGAGGAAGGTACAGCAGATGGCTCTATACACAACGATATACTCAGTACAGTGAACCTGTTAGTAAGCATTTTTGCTGCCCTGTGTACTCCATGTATACATGACAAAATAAACAAAAGTTGAAAAAAAAACGTACGATTCTAGTGTAGATCAATCAACATAGCCTGGTCCCAGATCTGTTTGCGCTATCGCGTTAACTCCTTGTTCCTCAACGCCATTCCAAACACTGGCACCAGGCTAAGTATCAAACAGTGTAGATTTAGATGTAGCTCTGACAAGAGAACAAAACATGGTCAAACAAACCGTTGTGTTGGGGGGGGGGGTGTTGTGGTGGTGACAAAACTGTTAGAAATGCTGTTTTCAAACGCTACAGTTTCAAAATGACTCCTGGGATGCATGGCACCCTATTTTCTATGGAGTGCACTACTTTTGAGCAGGTGCCTGGGCACTACATAGGGAATAGGGTGCTGGTTAAGGCTCGGCGCTGGAGTTCTGATGGATGGACAAAGCAAAAATTCTAGGCTATCGACTGGTCAATTCTAGAAGCACCAATCGAACTGGAATTACTGAAAACATTGACCAGTTATTATAATTACCATCATCAGTTACATTGCCGTGTCATGTGACAGTCTGTTAGTGGAGGTCAAAGGCCTAAACTGTCAGTTGTGTTTATTAAAAAGTCCCCTCTGAAGTCCTTTTTCAGGCGGCCGGTCGTTTGAGAGTGCGCCAGGGTTGTCGTCCTCCTCCTTCTTCTTCTTGGGTTTGTGTGTGTCTCCAAAACGACATTAGAACAGCATGACGATGCTGTAGTAACCATAGAAATAGAATCGTCATTCTTTACTGAACAAAAACATAAACAAAACATGTAAAGTGCTGGTCCCATGTCTCATGAGCTGAAATAAAAAAATCCCAGAAATGTTCCATACGCACAAAAAGCTTATTTCTCTCCAATGTTGTGCACACATTTGTTTACATCCCTGTTAGTGAGCATGTATTTATCCTTTGCCAAGATAATCCATCCAGGTGTGGCATATCAAGAAGCTGATTAAACAGCATGATCATTACACAGGTGCACCTTGTGCTGGGGGGCAATAAAATGCCACTCTAAAATGTGTCACACAACACAATGCCACAGATGTCTCAAGTTTTGAGGGAGCGTGCAATTGGCATGCTAACTGGAGGAATGTCCACCAGAGCTGTTGCCAGAGAATGTAATGTTAATTTCTCTACCATAAGCCTCCTCCAACGTCGTTTTAGGGAATTCGGCAGTATGTCCAACTGGCCTCACAACCGCATACCACGTGTTACCACGCCAGCCCAGGACCTCCACATCCCGCTTCTTCACCTGGGGGATCGTCTGAGGGAGGGTGGGGGGGTTGCAGAGGAGTATTTCTGTCTGTAATAAAGCCCTTTTTGTGGGGAAAAACTCATTCTGATTGGCTGGGCCTGGCTCCCCAGTGGGTGGGCCTGGCTCCCCAGTGGGTGTGTCTACGCCCTCCCAGGCCCACCCATGGCTACGCCCCCTGCCCAGTTATGTGAATTCCATAGATTAGGGCCTAATGAATTTATTTCAATTTACTGATTTCCTTATATGAACTGTAACTCAGTAAAATTGTCGAAATTGTTGCATGTTGCGTTTATATTTTTTGTTCAGTATAGCTCTGTGGTGATGGTACGCAATCCTGTACAACGTGACCTCACAGTGACCTCACTGTGACCTCACCGTGACCTCCCTCTAACTTTAGAAGACTGTCTGTGGTGAAAACAAGCAGCCTCAGAAGAGGGAGGCGTAACCGTCATTTTTTTAAATGAGGACAGTATGAACAAATCTAAAGTCATCATGGTTAAGAACTTGAAGCACAACAAGAGTTGCCATGGGGACTGGGGAACCCCCCCTCCAAGCCCGGGGGAAAAAGGCAGAAGGAAACCCCCTCTCCTGTGGGGGGGGGGACGTCCTGCTAAATGTAGAACTGGTGCAGAGCCAGCTGGGCCATAAAGGGTCTGACCAGGTTGTCTGTCGCGAAGTAGAACACCAAGCCAAAGAAGATGGAGATGGGGAGAGCAGGGAGGGCCTTCTTAAAGACAGCCAGGAGAAGAAGAGTCAAACACAGGCCCTAGAGAGAGAGAGAGAGAGAGAGAGAGAGAGACAGAGAGAGAGAGACAGAGAGACAGAGACAGAGAGCTTTGTTTATTATCTATTTCACTTGCTTTGGCAATGTAAACGTATGTTTCCTATGCCAATAAAACCCTTACATTGAATTGAAAATGAGAGGAGAAGAGAGAAAGAACAGATCAGTCAGACAAAAGTGATATATATATATACACACACACACACACACACACTACCAGTCAAATGTTTGTACACACCTACTCATTCAAGGGTTTTTCTTTATTTTTACTATTTTCTACATTGTAGAATAATAGTGGAGACATCAAAACTATGAAATAACACATATGGAATCATGTAGTAACCAAAGAAGAGTTAAACATACCCTTTGCCTTGATGACACCCTTGAAGGTGTGTCCAAACATTTCACTGGTAGTATATATATATATATACACACACACACATACACAGTGAGGGAAAAAAGTATTTGATCCCCTGCTGATTTTGTACGTTTGCCCACTGACAAAGACATGATCAGTCTATAATTTTAATGGTAGGTTTATTTGAACAGTGAGAGACAGAAAACAACAACAAAATCCAGAAAAACGCATGTCAAAAATGTTATAAATTGATTTGCATTTTAATGAGGGAAATAAGTATTTGACCCCCTCTGCAAAACATGACTTAGTACTTGGTGGCAAAACCCTTCTTGGCAATCACAGAGGTCAGACGTTTCTTGTAGTTGGCCACCAGGTTTGCACACATCTCAGGAGGGATTTTGTTCCACTCCTCTTTGCAGATCTTCTCCAAGTCATTAAGGTTTAGAGGCTGACGTTTGGCAACTCAAACCTTCAGCTCCCTCCACAGATTTTCTATGGGATTAAGGTCTGGAGACTGGCTAGGCCACTCCAGGACCTTAATGTGCTTCTTCTTGAGCCACTCCTTTGTTGCCTTGGCCGTGTGTTTTGGGTCATTGTCATGCTGGAATACCCATCCACGACCAATTTTCAATGCCCTGGCTGAGGGAAGGAGGTTCTCACCCAAGATTTGACAGTACATGGCCCCGTCCATCGTCCCTTTGATGCGGTGAAGTTGTCCTGTCCCATTAGCAGAAAAACACCCCCAAAGCATAATGTTTCCACCTCCATGTTTGACGGTGGGGATGGTGTTCTTGGGGTCATAGGCAGCATTCCTCCTCCTCCAAACACGGCGAGTTGAGTTGATGCCAAAGAGCTCGATTTTGGTCTCATCTGACCACAACACTTTCACCCAGTTCTCCTCTGAATCATTCAGATGTTCATTGGCAGACTTCAGACGGCCCTGTATATGTGCTTTCTTGAGCAGGGGGACCTTGCGGGCGCTGCAGGATTTCAGTCCTTCACGGCGTAGTGTGTTACCAATTGTTTTCTTGGTAACTATGGTCCCAGCTGCCTTAAGATCATTGACAAGATCCTCTCGTGTAGTTCTGGGCTGATTCCTCACCATTCTCATGATCATTGCAACTCCACGAGGTGAGATCTTGCATGGAGCCCCAGGCCGTGGGAGATTGACAGTTCTTTTGTGTTTCTTCCATTTGCGAATAATCGCACCAACTGTTGTCACCTTCTCACCAAGCTGCTTGGCGATGGTCTTGTAGCCCATTCCAGCCTTGTGTAGGTCTACAATCTTGTCCCTGACATCCTTGGAGAGCTCTTTGGTCTTGGCCATGGTGGAGAGTTTGGAATATGATTGATTGATTGCTTCTGTGTACAGGTGTCTTTTATACAGGTAACAAACTGAGATTAGGAGCACTCCCTTTAAGAGTGTGCTCCTAATCTCAGCTCGTTACCTGTATAAAAGACACCTGGGAGCCAGAAATCTTTCTGATTGAGAAGGGGTCAAATACTTATTTCCCTCATTAAAATGCAAATCAATGTATAACATTTTTTACATGCGTTTTTCTGGATTTTGTTGTTGTTTTCTGTCTCTCACTGTTCAAATAAACCTACCATTAAAATTATAGACTGATCATTTCTTTGTCAGTGTGTAAACGTACAAAATCAGCAGGGGATCAAATACTTTTTTCCCTCACTGTGTGTGTGTGTGTGTGTGTGTATGTATGTGTGTGTGTGTGTGTGTGTGTGTGTGTATATATATATATATATATATACACACATACACACACACACACACATACACACACATACACATACATATATACACACTGCTCAAAAAAATTAAGGAAACACTTAAACAACACAATGTAACTCCAAGTCAATCACACTTCTGTGAAATCAAACTGTCCACTTAGGAAGCAACACTGATTGACAATACATTTCACATGCTGTTGTGCAAATGGAATAGACAACAGATGGAAATTACAGGCAATTAGCAAGACACCCCCAATAAAGGACTGGTTTTGCAGGTGGTGACCACAGACCACTTCTCAGTTCCTATGCTTCCTGGCTGATGTTTTGGTCACTTTTGAATGCTGGCGGTGCTTTCACTCTAGTGGTAGCATGAGACGGAGTCTACAACCCACACAAGTGGCTCAGGTAGTGCAGCTCATCCAGGATGGCACATCAATGCGAGCTGTGGCAAGAAGGTTTGCTGTGTCTGTCAGCGTAGTGTCCAGAGCATGGAGGCGCTACCAGGAGACAGGCCAGTACATCAGGAGACGTGGAGGAGGCCGTAGGAGGGCAACAACCCAGCAGCAGGACTGCTACCTCCGCCTTTGTGCAAGGAGGAGCAGGAGGAGCACTGCCAGAGCCCTGCAAAATGACCTCCAGCAGGCCACAAATGTGCATGTGTCTGCTCAAACGGTCAGAAACAGACTCCATGAGGGTGGTATGAGGGCCCGATGTCCACAGGTGGGATTTGTGCTTACAGCCCAACACCGTGCAGGACGTTTGGCATTTGCCAGAGAACACCAAGATTGGCAAATTCGCCACTGGCGCCCTGTGCTCTTCACAGATGAAAGCAGGTTCACACTGAGCACATGTGACAGACGTGACAGAGTCTGGAGACGCCGTGGAGAACGTTCTGCTGCCTGCAACATCCTCCAGCATGACCGGTTTGGCGGTGGGTCAGTCATGGTGTGGGGTGGCATTTCTTTGGGGGGCCGCACAGCCCTCCATGTGCTCGCCAGAGGTAGCCTGACTGCCATTAGGTACCGAGATGAGATCCTCAGACCCCTTGTGAGACCATATGCTGGTGCGGTTGGCCCTGGGTTCCTCCTAATGCAAGACAATGCTAGACCTCATGTGGCTGGAGTGTGTCAGCAGTTCCTGCAAGAGGAAGGCATTGATGCTATGGACCGCCCTTTCCCCAGACCTGAATCCAATTGAGCACATCTGGGACATCATGTCTCGCTCCATCCACCAACGCCACGTTGCACCACAGACTGTCCAGGAGTTGGCGGATGCTTTAGTCCAGGTCTGGGAGGAGATCCCTCAGGAGACCATCCGCCACCTTATCAGGAGCATGCCCAGGCGTTGTAGGGAGGTCATACAGGCACGTGGAGGCCACACACACTACTGAGCCTCATTTTGACTTGTTTTAAGGACATTACATCAAAGTTGGATCAGCCTGTAGTGTGGTTTTCCACTTTAATTTTGAAGGTGACTCCAAATCCAGACCTCCATGGGTTGATACATTTGATTTCCATTGATCATTTTTGTGTGATTTTGTTGTCAGCACATTCAACTATGTAAAGAAAAAAGTATTTAATAAGATTATTTCATTCATTCAGATCTAGGATGTGTTGTTTAAGTGTTCCCTTTATTTTTTTGAGCAGTGTATTTGAGATTCTTCAAATAGCCACTCTTGAAGGTGTGTCCAAACTTTTGACAGGTAGTGTGTATATATATAAATCCACAGCAATCTACACACTATACCCCACAATGACAAAGCGAAAACAGGTTTTTAGAAATGTTTGCAAATATATAAAACAGAAACACCTTATTTACATAATTATTCAGACCCTTTGCTATGAGACTCGAAATTGAGATCAGGTGCATCCTGTATCCATTGATCATCCTTGAGATGTTTCTACAACTTGATTGGAGTCCACCTGTGGTAAATTCAATTGATTGGACATGATTTTGAAAAGGCACACACCTGTCTATATAAGGTCCCACAGTTAACAGTGCATGTCAGAGCAAAAACCAAGCCATGAGGTCGAAGGAATTGTCCGTAAAGCTCCGAGACAGGATTGTGTCAAGACACAGATCTTGGGAAGGGTACCAAAACATTTCTGCAGCATTGAAGGTCCCCAAGAACACAGTGGCCTCCATCATTCTTAAATGGAAGAAGTTTGGAACCACCAAGGCTCTTCCTAGAGCTGGCTGCCCGGCCAAACTGAGCAATCGGGGGAGAAGGGCCTTGGTCAGGGAGGTGACCAAAACCCGACGGTCACTCTGACAGAGCTCCAGAGTTCCGCTGTGGAGATGGGAGAACTTTCCAGAAGGACAACCATCTCTGCAGCCCTCCACCAATCAGGCCTTTATGGTAGAGTGGCCAGAAGGAAGCCACTCCTCAGTAAAAGGCACATGACAGCCCGCTTGGAGTTTGCCAAAAAGCACCTAAAGACTCTCAGACCATGAGAAACAAGATTCTCTGGTCTGATGAAACCAAGATTGAACTCTTTGGCCTGAATGCCAAGCGTCACGTCTGGAGGAAACCTGGCACCATCCCTACGGTGACGCATGGTGGTGGCAGCATCATGCTGTGGGGATGTTTTTCAGCGGCAGGGACTGGGAGACTAGTCAGGATTGAGGCAAAGATGAACGGAGCAAAGTACAGCGCGATCCTTGATGAAAACCAGCTCTAGAGCGCTCAGGACCTCAGAGTGGGGCGAAGGTTCACCTTCCAACAGGAGAACAACCCTAAGCACACAGCCAAGACAACACAGGAGTGGCTTCGGGACAAGTCTCTGAATGTCCTTGAGTGGCCCAGCCAGAGCCCGGACTTGAACCCGATTGAACATCTCTGGAGAGACCTGAAAATAGCTGTGCAGCAACGCTCCCCATCCAACCTGACAGAGCTTGAGAGGATCTGCAGAGAAGAATGGGAGAAACTCCCCAAATACAGATGTGCCAAGCTTGTAGCGCCATACCCAAGAAGACTCGAGGCTGTAATCGCTGCCAAAGGTGCTTCAACAAAGTACTGAGTAAAGGATCTGAATACTTATGTAAATGTGATATTTCCGTTTTTAATTTTTAATACATAGCTACAATTTCTAAAAACCTTTTTTTGCTTTGTCATTATGGGGTATTGTGTGTAGTTTGATGAGCAAAAAAAACAATTGAATCCATTTTAGAATAAAGCTGTAACGTAACAAAATGTGGAAAAAGTCAAGGGGTCTGAATACTTTCAGAATGCACTGTATATATATATATATATGTGTGTGTGTGTGTGAGTGAGTGAATGAGAGCGAGGCGTGTTACTGAGGTAATGTTATAATGAGTTGTTGTTGTTGTTGTTGTTGTGTTTACTCACAATGAGTATGGCTACAAAGCAAGCCAGAGTGGTATTCCAGTCACCGTTTGCTGCAGCTGAGGCCTTCCCCACCAGCATGCTGTAGAAGATGAAGTCTCCTAGACCCAGCTTCACTCCCCCTGGGAAACACAGACAGAACCACGTTAAACCACCCTAACCCTGATCCTAACACAAACCCTAACCCTGTAACCCCACTCCCCCTGGGAAACACAGACAGAACCACGTTAAACCACCCTAACCCTGATCCTAACACAAACCCTTACCCTGTAACCCTAACTCTATCCCCAACAGCATACTCTGTAGAAGACAAAGCCTCCCAGACCCAGTTTCACCATACTAAAAAAAACAGATGACATCTTTTTCCAATCCTGTCCGTCATGTTGACTGATAGAATGTTCTGCTGGCAGATCCTCAGCACACACATGGCTGTTTGATACCACAGAACGGCATAATATTCTAACATACTCACAGACACGGACATACAGTGCCTTCAGAAAGTATTCATACCCCTTGACGTATTCCACATTTTGTTGTGTTACAGCCTGAATTCAAAATGGATAAAAAAAATCTCACCCATCTACACACAATACCCCATAATAACAAAGTGAAAACATGTTGCTGGAAATTTTAGAAAACGTATTGAAAATGAAATGCAGAAATATCTAATTTACACAAGTATTCACACCCGAGTTAATACATGTTAGAATCCCCTTTGGCAGCGATTACAGCTGTGAATCTTTCTGGGTAAGTCTTTCCACACATGGATTGTGCAACATTTGCCCATTATTCTTTTCAAAATTCTTGCTAGACAACCATTTTCAGGTCTTGCCATAGATTTTCAAGTAGATTTAAGTCAAAACTGTAACTCGGCCACTCAGGAACATTCACTGTCTTCTTGGTAAGCAACTCCAGTGTAGATTTGGCCTTGTGTTTTAGGTTATTGTCCTGCTGAAAGGTGAATGCATCTCCCAGTGTCTGGTGGAAAGCAGACTGAACCAGGTTTTCCTCTAGGATTTTGCCTGTGCTTTGCTCCATACCATTTCTGTTTTATCTTAAAAAACTCCCCAGTCCATAACGATTACAAGCATACCCATAACATGATGCAGCCACCACTATGCTTGAAAATATGAAGAGTGGTACTCAGTAATGTATTGGATTGGATTTGCCCCAAACATAACACTTTGTATTCTGGACATAAAGTGAATTGCTTTGCCACATTTTTTGCAGTTTTACTTTAGTGCCTTGTTGCAAACAGGATGCATGTTTTGGAATATTTGTATTCTGTACAGGCTTCCTTCTTTTCACTCTGTCATTTAGGTTAGTATTGTGGAGTAACTACAATGTTGTTGATCCATCCTCAGTTTTTCTCTTATCACAGCCATTCAACTCTGTAACTGTTTTAAAGTCACCATGGTGAAATCCCTGAGCGGTTTCCTTCCTCTCCGGCAACTGAATTAGGAAGGACATCTGTATCTTTGTAGTGACTGGGTGTATTGATACATTGAGTGTAATGAATAACTTCACCATGCTCAAAGGGATATTCAATGTCAGCCTTTTTTTTTTTTTTTTTTACCCATCTACCAATAGGTGCCCTTCTTTGTGAGGCATTGGAAAACCTCCCTGGTCTTTGTTGTTGAATCTGTGTTTGAAATGCACTGCTCGACTGACAGACCTTACATATAATTGTATGTGTGGAGTACAGAGATGAGGTAGTCACTCAAAAATATTGTTAAACACTATTATTGCACAAAGAGTGAGTCCATGCATCTTATTATGTGATTTGTTAAGCACATTTTTACTCCTGAACTTATTTAGGTTTGCCATAACAAAGGGATTGAATACTTAATTACTGAAGACATTTCAGCTTTTCATTTTTAATAAAATAATAATAATGGGGTATTATGTGTAGGCCAGTGACAAATCTAAATCTAATCCATTTTTAAATTCAGGCTGTAACAAAAGCTGATAATAATTCAACCACATAAAATATGCATCCAAGCCAAACTGAAATCTTTTCAGAAACACGTTGGGTCGTTTTCACAGCCTTCTATTTCCTTACAACGGTTGCGGATGGGTTATTAACACCAACAGATGACCCACGCACCACTAATGTGAATAATTTCGGAAGGTCTGCCATTGGACAGGGCCTATATGATAGGAAAGTGGAGGAATCACAAACTGCAACTGTGTCAGTTTTGGAGACCGCCTTCATTTGTTAGTATAGAGAGCGGTGTCTGCAGAATAGAGCGGTGTCTACAGAATAGAGCGGTGTCTGCAGAATAGAGCGGTGTCTACAGAATAGAGCGGTGTCTGCAGAATAGAGCGGTGTCTGCGGAATAGAGCGGTGTCTACGGAATAGAGCGGTGTCTACGGAATAGAGCGGTGTCTACGGAATAGAGCGGTGTCTACGGAATAGAGCGGTGTCTACAGAATAGAGCGGTGTCTACAGAATAGAGCGGTGTCTGCAGAATAGAGCGGTGTCTGCAGAATAGAGCGGTGTCTGCAGAATAGAGCGGTGTCTACAGAATAGAGCGGTGTCTGCAGAATAAAGCTGTGTCTACAGAATAGAGCGGTGTCTACAGAATAGAGCGGTGTCTACAGAATAGAGCGGTGTCTGCAGAATAGAGCGGTGTCTACGGAATAGAGCGGTGTCTGCAGAATAGAGCGGTGTCTACAGAATAGAGCGGTGTCTACGGAATAGAGCGGTGTCTGCAGAATAGAGCGGTGTCTACGGAATAGAGTGGTGTCTACGGAATAGAGCGGTGTCTACGGAATAGAGCGGTGTCTACGGAATAGAGCGGTGTCTACGGAATAGAGCGGTGTCTACGGAATAGAGCGGTGTCTACGGAATAGAGCGGTGTCTACGGAATAGAGCGGTGTCTACGGAATAGAGCGGTGTCTACAGAATAGAGCGGTGTCTACGGAATAGAGCGGTGTCTACGGAATAGAGCGGTGTCTACGGAATAGAGCGGTGTCTACAGAATAGAGCGGTGTCTGAAGAATAGAGCGGTGTCTACGGAATAGAGCGGTGTCTGCAGAATAGAGCGGTGTCTACAGAATAGAGCGGTGTCTACAGAATAGAGCGGTGTCTGCAGAATAGAGCGGTGTCTGCAGAATAGAGCGGTGTCTGCAGAATAGAGCGGTGTCTACGGAATAGAGCGGTGTCTGCAGAATAGAGCGGTGTCTACGGAATAGAGCGGTGTCTGCAGAATAGAGCGGTGTCTACGGAATAGAGCGGTGTCTACGGAATAGAGAGGTGTCTACGGAATAGAGAGGTGTCTACGAATAGAGCGGTGTCTACAGAATAGAGCGGTTGTCTACGAATAGAGGGTGTCTAGGAATAGAGCGGTTGTCTACGGAATAGAGAGTGTCTACGGATAAGGTGTCTACAGAATAGAGCAGTATCTGAAGAATAGAGCGGTGTCTACGGAATGACGGTGTCTGCAGATAAGCGGTGTTGTCTACGAATAGAGCGGTTGTCTACAGAATAGAGGCGTTGTCTACAGAATAGAGCGGTGTCTGCAGAATAGAGCGGTGTCTACGGAATAGAGCGGTGTCTGCGATAGAGCGGTGTCTACGAATTAGAGCGGTGTCTACGGAATAGAGCGGTGTTCTGCAGGAATAGAGCGGTGTCTACGAATAGAGTGGTGTCTACGGAATAGAGCGGTTTCTACGGAATAGAGCGGTGGTCTACGGAATAGAGCGGTGTCTACGGAATAGAGCGGTGTCTAGAATAGAGCGGTGTCGACGGAATAGAGCGGTTGTCTACGGAATAGAGCGGTGTCTACGGAATAGAGCGGTGTCTACGGAATAGAGCGGTGTCTACAGAATAGAGCGTGTCTACGGATAGAGCGGTGTCTACGGAATAGAGCGTGTCTACGGAATAGAGCGGTGTCTACGGAATAGAGCGGTGGTCCTGAGAATAGAGCGGTGTCTACGGAATAGAGCCGGTGTCTTGCAAATAGAGCGGTGTCTACATAATAGAGCGGTGTCTACAGAATAGAGCGGTGTCTGCAGAATAGAGCGGTTGTCTGCAGAATAGAGCGGTGTCTACAGAATAGAGCGGTTGTCTACGGAATAGAGCTGGTGTCTGCAGAATAGAGCGGTGTCTACGGAAATAGAGCGGTGTTCTGCAGAATAGAGCGGTGTCTACGGAATAGAGCGTGTCTACGGAATAGAGAGGTGTCTACGGAATAGAGCGGTGTCTACGGAATAGAAGCGGTGTCTACGGAATAGAGCGGTGTCTACGGAATAGAGCAGTGTCTACGGAATAGAGCAGTGTCCTACGGAATAGAGAGGTGTCTACAGAATAAAGCAGTATCTGTAACGAATAGAGCGGTGTCGGCAGAATAGAGCGGTGTCTACAGAATAGAGCCGGTGGCCCTACAGAATAGAGCGGTGTCCTGCAGAATAATAGCCGGTGTCGAACGGAATAGAGCGGTGTCTGCAGAATAGAGCGGTGTCTACGGAATAAGATCGGGTGTCTACGGAAATAGAGTCGGTGTCTACAGAATAGTAGCGGTGTCCTAACAGAAATAGAGCGTGGGTGGGGGGGTCTACAGAATAGAGCGTTGTCTACAGAATAGAGCGTTGTCTGCAGAAATATAGCGGTGGTCTACAAATAGAGCGAGTGGTCTACAGAATAGAGGTCGGTGTCTGCCAGGAAAAAATAGAGCGGTGTCCTGCGATAGAGCGGTGTCTACGGAATAGAGCGGTGTCTACGGAATAGAGCGGTGTCCTACGGAATAGAGCGGTGTCCTACAGGAAATAGAGCGGTGTACTGCGAATAGAGCGGTGTGCGGATAGAGCGTTTCTACAGGAATAGAGCGGGTGTCTGCAGAATAGATCGGTGTCTACAGAATAGAGCGGTGTCTGCAGAATAGAGCGGTGTCTGCAGAATAGAGCGGTGTCTGCCAGAATAGAGCGGTTGTCTACAGAATCGAGCGGTGTCTACAGAATAGAGCGGTTGTCTACAGAATAGAGGCGGTTGTCTGGCGGAATAGAGCGGTGTCTGCAAAATAGAGCGTGTCTGCAGAATAGAGCGGTGTCTGCAGAATAGAGCGGTGTCTGCAGAATAGAGCGGTTTTGTCTACGGAATAGAGCGGTGTCTGCAGAATAGAGCGGTGTCTACGGAATAGAGCGGTTGTTGTAGAATAGAGCGGTGTCTGCGGAATAGAGCGGTTTCTACAGAATAGAGCGGTGTCTACGAATTAGAGCGGTGTCTACAGAATAGAGCGGTTGTTGTGGAATAGAGCGGTTGTCTGCGGAATAGAGCGGTGTCTGCGGAATAGAGCGGTTGTCTACAGAATAGAGGCGGTGTCTACAGAATAGAGCGGTGTCTGCAGAATAGAGCGGTGTCTACAGAATAGAGCGTGTCTACAGATAGAGCGGTGTCTACGGAATAGAGCGGTGTCTACGGAATAGAGCGGTGTCTGAAGAATATAGAGCGGTGGTCTACAGAATAGAGCGGTGTCTACAGAATAGAGCGGTGTCTACAGAATAGAGCGGTGTCTACAGAATAGAGCGGTGTCTACGGAATAGAGCGGTGTCTACGGAATAGAGCGGTGTCTACGGAATAGAGCGGTGTCTACGGAATAGAGCGGTGTCTACAGAATAGAGCGGTGTCTACAGAATAGAGCGGTGTCTACGGAATAGAGCGGTGTCTACGGAATAGAGCGGTGTCTGAAGAATAGAGCGGTTGTCTACAGAATAGAGCGTGTCTTACAGAATAGAGCGGTGTCTACGGAATAGAGCGGGTCTGAAGAATAGAGCGGTGTTTACAGAATAGAGCGGTGTCTACGGAATAGAGCGGTGTCTACGGAATAGAGCGGTGTCTACGGAATAAAGCGGTGTCTACAGAATAGAGTGTCTACAGTTATGTTTACATTTAGCGAGCTTCATTCTAATAAATTTTTTCACACTACTAAGCTAAGCCAAAACATTTTACTGTTCCGTCACTGTTATGTAACGTTACTGTTCTGTTCTGTAACGTTACATTCCTGTACTATACATAACGTTACTGTTCTGTCACCGTTACTGTTCTGTTACCGTTACTGTTCCGTTACCGTTATGTAACGTCACTGTTCTGTAACGTTACTGTTCTTTAATGTTACTGTTACATTCCTGTACTATACCATAACATTACTGTTCTGTAACGTTACTGTTCTGTTACCGTTACTGTTCCGTTACCGTTATGTAACGTCACTGTTCTGTAACGTTACCGTTCTTTAATGTTACTGTTACATTCCTGTACTATAACATAACGTTACTGTTCTGTTACCGTTACTGTTCTGTTCCGTTACCGTTACTGTTCCGTTACCGTTATGTAACGTTACTGTTCTGTACTCACTCTCCTCGTCATCATCGTCCATTATGGGAGGTCTGTCAGAGGGGCGCTGTTGGATCTCCCGTCGGGTCTCGTCCGTGGACTGGAGGGGCCCCAGCTGATACTCCTGATTCCCCACCCAGTTAGGGGTGAACCCCCCGTCATCCTCAGGGGGGCTGAGGGGGGCTGGGCCCAGGGCCAGAGACGGGGGGGCTGCTGCAGTGGAGAGAACAAAAATAAAACACTGGAGATGCCATAAAAAGAGTCATGTTTTGTGGGGGTGCAATTGGGGCCAGGGCTAAGGGGTCTGCAGGGAGGTAGAGATTAATCATTATAATACACTGGAAGTGGCTGACGGGGTCTGGGCCCCGGGCCAGGGGGATGGGGGGGGGGGGGGGGCGTAGAGAGGCATTTAAATAAAACCCTGGAGAAGCCAAAGGAAGGTTTTTAAGTACCTTGCTCTTGAGCACAACTCATTGAGATTTTGAGAGTTGACAGTCCAGACCCCATTTTCCAAAGCTAAACCAACATATTACTTAAAGAGGAAGTTTTAGTGGACAGAGATGTTTGGTGAAAGCCCCTAACTTTCCTCCAGACTGACTATCCTTGACTCCTACAGGTGTAGACTCACCTTGACTATCAGGCTGAGACTCTCCTACAGGTGAAGACTCACCTTGACTATCAGGCTGAGAACTCTCCTACAGGTGTAGACTCACCTTGACATCAGGCTGAGACTCTCCTACAGGTGTAGACTCACTTCCTAAGCTGAGACTTCTACCTACAGGTGTAGACTCACCTTGACTATCAGGCTGAGACTCTCCTACAGGTGAAGACTCACCTTGACTATCAGGCTGAGACTCTCCTACAGGTGTAGAACTCACCTTGACTATCAGGCTGGGACTCTCCTACAGGTGTAGACTCACCTTGACTATCAGGCTGAGACTCTCCTACAGGTGTAGACTCACCTGGACTATCAGGCTGAGACTCTCCTACAGGTGAAGACTCACATTGACTATCAGGCTGAGACTCTCCTACAGGTGTAGACTCACCTTGACTATCAGGCTGAGACTCTCCTACAGGTGTAGACTCACCTTGACTATCAGGCTGAGACTCTCCTACAGGTGTAGACTCACCTTGACTATCAGGCTGAGACTCTCCTACAGGTGTAGACTCACCTTGGACTATCAGGCTGAGACTCTCCTACAGGTGTAGACTCACCTTGACTATCAGGCTGAGACTCTCCTACAGGTGTAGACTCACCGTGACTATCAGGCTGAGACTCTCCTACAGGTGTAGACTCACCTTGACTATCAGGCTGAGACTCTCCTACAGGTGTAGACTCACCTTGACTATCAGGCTGAGACTCTCCTACAGGTGTAGACTCACCTTGACTATCAGGCTGAGACTCTCCTACAGGTGTAGACTCACCTTGACTATCAGGCTGAGACTCTCCTACAGGTGAAGACTCACCCTGACGGTCAGGCTGAGACTCTCCTACAGGTGAAGACTCACCTTGACTATCAGGCTGGGCGATGGGTGCTTCTGTTGAGTTCTTCCTGGTCAGTGGTCTGTGTCCGAGGCCAGTGTCTGCCATGTTGACCAGCCACACCATGGTCGCTGGGGAGGGAGAGAGGTAGAGGATGCATTTGCTAGGCAGCTAAGGGAATTTAGGTAGAAGATGGTGAACGCCTGTGGCAGAGGCTGTTTAAGACAACCATCATACATCCACAAGATATCTTCTGTACATCAGATTCACTGCCTTGTCTCACATAGTATGAACAGCACTGATAGACCACTGCAAAGCAAGAGGGTCATCCATTATTTAAAAAAAAAAAAATTGGGGGGGGGATATTTTACCCCATTTTTCTCCACAATTTCGTGGTATCCAATTAGTAGTAGTTACAGTCCCATCGCTGCAACCCCCGTTCGGACACGGGAGAGGCGAAGGTCGAGGGTCGACAGAGCCTGGACTCGAACCAGGATCTCTAGTGGCACAGCTAGCTCTGCGATGCAGTGCCTTAGACCACTGCGCCACTCGGGAGGCCCTTAGAGGGTCATCCATAGCATGTACAGTACCATTATATATATATTAGATACTTCTACTGATAACATCAGTGGTATGTTTAACACATATCAGGTGTGTAGGTATTGTAATGTAGGCGGTATGATGTGATGCGTGTCTTACAGGAGTAGATGAGAGCAGGGAAGATGGGTTCGTTCCTCTCCTGAGCAGTCTCCACTAGGATACGTAGAGGACCTTTGGGACAGAGCACTGCTAACAGATCTATGGCGGGAGAAACAGGGTCGTATTCATTAGGATACGTAGCGGACCTTTGGGACAGAGCACTGCTAACAGATCTATGGAGGGAGAAACAGGGTTGTATTCATTAGAGCATATCATAGCAAAACGATTTGCAACAGAAAATAAAAAAACAAGCGTTTTTATTGGACAAACTCAGGTAGCCTCTCCCTGTTTCAGTGCGTATTCTTCCATTTTGGTGCCTAATGAATCAAATCAAATCAAAAATTTTACCGCCTGGTATAGAGGTCCTGGATGACAGGAAGCTTGGCCCCAGTGATGTACTGGGCCGTACGCACTACCCTCTGTATATGACCGAGAGCTTTGAGTCAGGATAGAATAGTGTTGGAACCAGAACAGATGGCTCTTTGAGAGACCAAGTAGAATGATTTATCTAAGGGATAATCAACGAGGGGCTATGTGTTCTATTGAAAGTAATAAACGACGTGGAAGCTGTGTCCCACGACGCGACAGCGCAGTAGAACTAACCTACCACAGAGTTACATTCTTTTCCAGAGAACGCATAGAGCCCCAAGTTGATTATCCCTTTTACACCATTGGTCAAATTAAAACACATTTACTAGAAATGTGTTCATTTGCCGGGAACAAATGTGTTCAACATCCACTGAAGTAGCTAGCTAGTTTACTAGATAACTGCAGTAGTTGCCGTGGTAACCAAACAGACTTGCTAGTTTAGCTAACCAAACCATCAGTCCTAGCTTGCTATTATAAAAATCGAATTCAACAATACCAACACTCTTCTCAAAAGCAGCTCGAACAAAACATGTAAAAATGACCTATAGCCATTTAATTATACCGTGCGTTAAAAGGAAATAATCCATGCTCTAGAATGCCCTTCAAGCCAATCAGAAAGGAGTATTCAACATTGCCATGGTATAATCTGAGTTAAAGAATGGCTGAGACTGGCTGGGAGAAAAACGACGTACCAAAACCAACTGCAGGGAGACAACAGAGCTGGAATCAGGACAAAAAACATTGTTCAGGACAAATAATGTTGGACCCAAAACACAGTGCTCTTTGAGAGACAGACCAAGTAAAACTCCTAGTAAAAAGATTGAATCCCGAGTTCAAGTATGACTGACTAGCTGGGTGAAAACTCTAAAAACGCTACGCCAACTATCCCTGGGGTCCTCTTGTTCCTAGCTCTTAGATCCCACAATATCTGTGGTCAGCGTTGGACTGCTAACGCAAGCTGAACACAGGGACTGTTACTTTCAATAAACTGAAACCCAAGCTGACCTCTATTGTACTTCGGTTTGCTACTGTTGTGCCAAGCGGACCACTCTCAGGTTAAATAAACCTACTACAGCTGACCACTCCTGGACATTATTCTCAGATTGTGTCAGCATCCCAAACGGCACCCTATTCCCCATGTCAGGAAGGGACAGCTCGCTGTGGAAAATGTGGTCTTATCTAAGGTTTTCTAACTTAAAAGACTGTCTTGACCTTAGCTCTCCTCCACTTCCTGTCCCCTCACGGGTGTTTCCTGTTTGTTGGCCAGTCAGATGGGGCTGCTGTCCCTTGTCAGACCCACCACCCCAAATCCACACGTCCTACCCAGAGTTTTTACATATCTTTTCATTTTTCAGACCCACCACTCCCTCACAGGAACACTTTTCTTCCCACAAAAATGTCTTCGTTTAATCTCTGAGCCTGTCAATATTATACAGACCATTAGAACTCTTAACGGAATACATTTACATTACATTTTAGTCATTTAGCAGACGCTCTTATCCAGAGCGACTTACAGTTAAGTGAGTGCATACATTATTTTTTTATTTTTCATACTGGCCCCCCCGTGGGAATCGAACCCACAACCCTGGCGTTGCTCTACCAACTGAGCTACATCCCTGCCGGCCATTCTCTCCTCTACCCTGGACGACCCTGGGCCAATTGTGCGCCGCCCCATGGGTCTCCCGGTCGCGGCCAGCTACGACAGAGCCTGGATTTGAACCAGGATCTCTAGTGGCACAGCTAGCACTGCGATGCAGTGCCTTAGACCACTGCGCCACTACCCCAGAGTCAGATATACTTGATGATACCATTTTAATGTCTTTGCATCCAGTATGAAGGAAGTTAGAGGTAGTTTCAGAAGCCAATGCTAACTGGCGTTAGCGCAATGAATGTGAGTCTATGGCATCTATTAGCATGCTAGCAGATACCATAGACTTCCAGTCATTGCACTAAAGCTAGTTAGCAATTGCGCTAGTTAGCAACTTCCGTCAAACTGCACGCAGACACATAAAAACGTTATCCACGAGCTCATCTGATTCTGGGGAAGTACACTGCTCAAAAAAATAAAGGGAACACTTAAACAACACAATGTAACTCCAAGTCAATCACACTTCTGTGAAATCAAACTGTCCACTTGACAATACATTTCACATGCTGTTGTGCAAATGGAATAGACAACAGGTGGAAATTATAGGCAATTAGCAAGACACCCCCAATAAAGGACTGGTTTTGCAGGTGGTGACCACAGACCACTTATCAGTTCCTATGCTTCCTGGCTGATGTTTTGGTCACTTTTGAATGCTGGCGGTGCTTTCACTCTAGTGGTAGCATGAGACGGAGTCTACAACCCACACAAGTGGCTCAGGTAGTGCAGCTCATCCAGGATGGCACATCAATGCGAGCTGTGGCAAGAAGGTTTGCTGTGTCTGTCAGCGGGTCACTCCAAATCCAGAACTCCATGGGTTGATAAATTTGATTTCCATTGATAATTTGTGTGATTTTGTTGTCAGCACATTCAACTATGTAAAGAAAAAAGTATTTAATAAGATGATTTCATTCATTCAGATCTAGGATGTGTTATTTAAGTGTTCCCTTTATTATCATTGCCCAATACTCCCGAAGTATCCATTTAAACGGTCTGAGAATGACATAAATATGGAGTAGCTAATAGGAGACCAACTCTTCACTAGAGCTAGCTAGGCCTTCACAAAGACAAAACATAGTCTCCCTAGATATGGCCAGACAGAGACCAGATGATAACAAAATATTCCAACACAAATCTCCATTGTAGGGCCTCTGTGTTTAAAACCTCTGTGGCCTCACCAGGGGTCACCAATTACATTCAGCCGTGGGCCGATCTTTCTTTGAGCGGATGGTTGGGGGTCAGAACATAGTTATAAATAATCCCAAACAGATACAGTATTTGACAAAAATTGAATTTCAAACCTGGATTACATTGAGATACGATCACATATGGGTAAATCCATTTGAATTCAATCACTTTTTGACAGCACCCCTTTCGATTTGAATGAAACCTCCCATACATATTTGCCCATTGTAGAAGTGTTCAGAAAGTGACTTTTTGGACTTGAATGCCAAAAGTTGACTCCTTTTTCATTCTCCACCATACAACAAAAATATAAACGCAACATGTAAAGTGTGTTGGTTCCAAGTTTCATGAGCTGAAATAAAAGATCCCCGAAATTTTCAACACGCACAAAAAGCTTATTTCCTCTCAAATTTTGTGCACAAATGTGTTTACATCCCTGTTAGTGAGCATTTCTCCTTTGCCAAGATAATCCATCCACCTGACAGGTGTGGCATATCAAGAAGCTGATTAAACAGCATGATCATTACACAGGTGCACCTTGTGCTGGGGACAATAAAAGGGCCACTCTAAAATGTGCAGATTTGTCACACAACACAATGCCACAGCTGTCTCAAGTTTTGAGGGAGCGTGCAATTGGCATGCTGACTGCAGGAATGTCCACCAGAGCTGTTGCCAGATAATGTAATGTTCATTTCTCTACCATAAGCCTCCTCCAACGTCGTTTTAGAGAATTTGGCAGTATATCCAACCGGCCGCACAACCGCAGACCACGTGTAACCACGCCAGCCCAGGACCTCCACATCCGGCTTCTTCACCTGTGGGATCGTCTGAGACCAGCCACCCAGACAGCTGATAAACCTGAGGAGTATTTCTGTCTGTAATAAAGCCCTTTTGTGGGCAAAAACTAATTCTGATTGGCTGGGCCTGGCTCCCCAGTGGGTGGGCCTGGCTCCCCAGTGGGTGGGCATATGCCCTCCCAGGCCCACCCATGGCTGCACCCCCTGCCCAGTCATGTGAAATCCATAGATTAGAGCCTAATGAATTTATTTCAATTGACTGATTTCCTTATATGAACTGTAATTCAGTAAAATCTGTGAAATTGTTGCATGTTGCGTTTATATTTTTGTTCAATAAATTTAAAAGCTTACAAACTATTTTATAATTTATTGAAAAAATGTGTAAATAAAAACGTGGTCATTCCGGTTCTGGTGGCCTTGTGGTTTCCTTCAGCAAACTAACATGAATTAACAGACTTATTGTGGTTTCCTTCAGCAAACTACCGTGAATTAACAGACTTATTGTGGTTTCCTTCAGCAAATTACTATGAATTAACAGACTTATTTCCTAAAACCTGCCAATACTAAATATTATATTATGGTGTGGGACATTCATCGTGTGACAAGAAATAAGCAGGTCTATTTCATTTCAGCAGCTAGAATTTGTCCGTCCACAGTTCTCCTTTGGGAACATGGCGTCTCTCAATACCATACAGCTGCCAGAGCCGGCCGCTACGCAAGAGATTGTTCTTGAGGAGATTACCTCTGCCCTCGACTTACAATTAAAACCGGTAAATTACCGTAATCATTGGCAGCGCTCACTGCTAAAGTGGATACCTATTCAACTAAAGTGGAAAGCCAGGAGAGGACAGAGGCGTGACTACGTGACCTGGAAACCAGCTCAGTTGGAAGGGATAATCAAACTCCTAAAAGAGAAAACGGAATCACTCAAATAATTCCAGTAAATTCTGTGTGCGGGTCACAAGACTTGAAACTGGTGTGGAAGTGGGCAAACCAACTTCCTTCATGAGCAATCTTTTCTATGAACTGTTCGGGCAGGAGAAGCTGGGTCCCATGCCACTAATTAACACAGCACACCACATGGGTCAACTCCGCAACAGCTCTCGCTGTATGATTGTACGGATCCACAGCTTTGAAGTCAAGTGGCTAATTGTTCACCTTGCAGCGGAATCCGGGGGCCTGACCTATGCAGGGAAGAGGATCAGCATCTACCCAGACCTGAGTGCTGAACTGCTGAAACAGAGGGAGATCAGCATCTACCCAGACCTGAGTGCTGAAACAGAGGGAGATCAGTATCTACCCAGACCTGAGTGCTGAAACAGAGGGAGATCAGCATCTACCCAGACCTGAGTGCTGAAACAGAGGGAGATCAGCATCTACCCAGACCTGAGTGCTGAAACAGAGGGAGATCAGCATCTACCCAGACCTGAGTGCTGAAACAGAGGGAGATCAGTATCTACCCAGATCTGAGTGCTGAAACAGAGGGAGATCAGCATCTACCCAGACCTGAGTGCTGAAACAGAGGGAGATCAGCATCTACCCAGACCTGAGTGCTGAAACAGAGGGAGATCAGCATCTACCCAGACCTGAGTGCTGAAACAGAGGGAGATCTACAACGAGGTCGTAAGCTAAACCTGGCAAAACTCATCTTGACCTTCCAGAACACAACAAACACGTTTTCCACTGCCAAGGAGGCTCAAGACTTCTTCGAGAAGCACATCAAACCCAACACACAAGGGGACAAGCTGATAGATGGAACCCCATGACTGGCTCATTCACGGTTCTACATTAACTTTTTCCACGGGTGGCACTGGCGTTAGTGGCACCAGCACATGATTTGGTCGCAGTAATTATTTTATAAAACCATTTCTATAATGACCTGGCCTGTATCCCATAATGTGTCTGCATTCCAGCCACCTTTTAAATTAGCATGTCCTTGTGTTATTTTGCGTCTAAAAATTGGTACGATATGTTAAGTTTGGTATGGTTACATAAGATAGATGGTTACTTAAGGCACAAACGTATAGCAACCCAAAGGTTGCAAGTTCGAATCTCATCACAGACAACTTTAGCATTTTAGCAACTTTTCAACTACTTAGCAACTACTTAGCAACTACTTAGCAACTACTTAGCAACTACTTAGCAACTACTTAGCAACTACTTAGCATGCTAGCTAACACTTTCCCTAACCTTTAGGATTTAGCTAAAAGGGTTAACTTAACCCTAACCCCTAACCCCGCTAACGTTAGCAAGCTAGCTAATGTTAGCCACCTAGCTAGAATTCGTAACATGCTGTACGTTTTACAAATTCATAACATACGAAATTGGTGATGACATCCACAAATTCATAAATAACATACGAAACTTAACATATCATACTAAATGGAGTGTCTCGGATTTACATACAGAATAATAAAAAATGCTCAGACCAGGTTGGCCAGGCGGTCCACTCAGACAGGTACTCACCATAGACAGATAACAGCCAGGATCAGCCAGGCGGTCCACTCAGACAGGTTCTCAGGCAGGTACTCACCATAGACAGATAACAGCCAGGATCAGCCAGGCGGTCCACTCAGGCAGGTACTCACCATAGACAGATAACAGCCAGGATCAGCCAGGCGGTCCACTCAGGCAGGTACTCACCATAGACAGATATAACAGCCAGGATGAGCCAGGCGGTCCACTCAGGCAGGTACTCACCATAGACAGATATAACAGCCAGGATGAGCCAGGCGGTCCACTCAGGCAGGTACTCACCATAGACAGATAACAGCCAGGATCAGCCAGGCGGTCCACTCAGACAGGTTATCAGGCAGGTACTCACCATAGACAGATAACAGCCAGGATCAGCCAGGCGGTCCACTCAGGCAGGTACTCACCATAGACAGATAACAGCCAGGATCAGCCAGGCGGTCCACTCAGGCAGGTACTCACCATAGACAGATATAACAGCCAGGATCAGCCAGGCGGTCCACTCAGACAGGTACTCACCATAGACAGATATAACAGCCAGGATGAGCCAGGCGGTCCACTCAGGCAGGTACTCACCATAGACAGATATAACAGCCAGGATGAGCCAGGCGGTCCACTCAGACAGGTACTCAGGCAGGTACTCACCATAGACAGATAACAGCCAGGATCAGCCAGGCGGTCCACTCAGGCAGGTACTCACCATAGACAGATAACAGCCAGGATCAGCCAGGCGGTCCACTCAGGCAGGTACTCACCATAGACAGATATAACAGCCAGGATGAGCCAGGCGGTCCACTCAGGCAGGTACTTGATGAAGACCAGAGCCATGAGAGCAGAGATCATGATGAGGTAGGCCTGCTGCAGACGGAGAGGACCCTTCCAGTGGATACAGATCATCCCTACCACCCCGAAGTTCCAGACGATCACAGCCAGGGTGAACCAGTCCATCGCCACATTGTACGTCTTCAACACTTCGCTGGAGGACAGACAGGGGATTTGTCAGTTAGGGTTTATCGAGCCACATTATTTCTCAATCTTAGTGACAGCTACAAGTCACCAGGTAAGGTTAAACACAACAGGATATGTACTATACTCACACAGCTGATCAACTGATTACTGTGATCTATAAGGGATTACTGTGAACCGATTACTGTGATCTATAACTGATTACTGTGATCTATAAGGGATTACTGTGATCTATAACTGATTACTGTGATCTATAACTGATTACTGTGATCTATAACTGATTACTGTGATCTATAACTGATTACTGTGATCTAGACTTTGATTGAGGAGAGAAAATAAAGACTGGACTCACTTGAGGTAGATGAAGGAGAAGAAGAACAGGAGGAGGAGAGAAGAGAGGAACAGCCAGCCTTGGATCACCTGTAGGGACACACAGAGATCAATAACAGGAGGAGGAGAGAGGAACAGCCAGCCTTGGATCACCTGTAGGGACACACACAGATCAATAACGTCAAACTGGCTGCATACATGTCCAGCATGTCACTGATGATCATACATGTAGATCCCCAAGAACACAGTCCCCTCCATCATTCTTAAATGGAAGAAGTTTGGAACCACCCAGACTCTTCCTAGAGACGGCCGCCCGGCCAAACGGGGGAGAAGGGTCTTGGTCAGGGAGATTCCTCTGTAGAGATGGGAGAACATTCCAGAAGGACAACCATCTCTGCAGCACTCCACCAATCAGGCCTTTATGGTAGAGTGGCCAGACAGAAGCCACTTCTCAGTAAAAGGCACATGACAGCCCGCTTGGAGTTTACCAAAAGGAACCTAAAGGACTCTCAGACCATGAGAAACAAGATTCTCTGGTCTGATGAAACCAAGATTGAACTCTTTGGCCTGAATGCCAAGCGTCACGTCTGGCGGAAACCTGGCACCACCCCTACGGTGAAGCATTGTGGCAGCATCATGCTGTGGGGATGTTTTTCAGCGACAGGGACTGAGAGACTAGTCAGGATCGAGGGAAAGATGAATGGAGCAAAGTACAGAGAGATCCTTGATGAAAACCTGCTCCAGAGCGCTCAGGACCTCAGACTTGGGCAAAGGTTTCACCTTCCAACAGGACAACGACCCTAAGCACACAGTCAAGACAACGCAGGAGTGGCTTCGGGACAAGTCTCTGAATGTCCTTGAGTGGCCCAGCCTGAGCCTGGACTTGAACCTGATCGAAAATCTCTGGAGAGACATGAAAATAGCTGTGCAGCAACGCTCTCCATCCAACCTGACAGAGCTTGAGAGGATCTGCAGAGAAGAATGGGAGAAACTCCCCAAATACAGATGTGCCAAGCTTGTAGCGTCATACCCAAGAAGACTCGAGGCTGTAATCGCTGCCAAAGGTGCTTCAACAAAGTACTGAGTAAAGGGTCTGAATACTTATGTAAATGATATTTTATTTTTTTATAAAATTGCAAACAATTCAAATACCCCATAATGACAAAGCAAAAACAGGTTATTGTGTGTAGAGTGATGAGGGGGGAAAAAAACAATTTAATCCATTTTAGAATAAGGCTGTAACGTAACAAAATGTGGAAAAAGTCAAGGGGTCTGAATACTTTCCGAATGCACTGTATCTTACCCTGTACTGTAGCAGCGGTCCTTGTATAGCAGTATATATCTTACCTTGTAGCAGCGGTACTTGTATAGCAGTATATATCTTACCTTGTAGCAGCGGTACTTATATAGCAGCACCAGAACCATGGTCATCACTATGATGACGCTGATCATGATGGTGGCGTTGAGGACTGAGTTCAGGGCTCGCTGTCCTATTGTGTCTGTGTCCTCAGGGAACGGGGTGTAGATCCTGGACAAGACATTAGACAGTACAGGTAACTATCAAGATCCTGGACAAGACATTAGACAGTACAGGTAACTATCAAGATCCTGGACAAGACATCAGCCAGTACAGGTAACTATCAAGATCCTGGACAAGACATTAGACAGTACAGGTAACTATCAAGATCCTGGACAAGACATTAGACAGTACAGGTAACTATCAAGATCCTGGACAAGACATCAGCCAGTACAGGTAACTATCAAGATCCTGGACAAGACATTAGACAGTACAGGTAACTATCAAGATCCTGGACAAGACATTAGACAGTACAGGTAACTATCAAGATCCTGGACAAGACATTAGACAGTACAGGTAACTATCAAGATCCTGGACAAGACATTAGACAACTACAGTGCCTTCAGAAAGTTCACACCCACACCTCTACTTTTTCCAAATGTTGTTGTGTTACAGCCTGAATTTAAAATTGATCACATTGAGATTTTTGGTCACTGGCCTACACACACAATCCTCCATAATGTCAAAGTAGAATTACGTTTTTAGACATTTTTACAAATTAATTAAAAATGAAAAGCTGAAATGTCTTGAGCCAATCAATATTCAACCCCTTTGCTATGGCAATCCTAAATAAGTTCAGGAGTAAAAATGCGCTTAACAAGTCACATAAGTTACATGGACTCACTTTGTGTGCAATAATAGTGTTTATCATTATTTTTAAATGACTAACCTCATCTCTGTACCTCACACATACAATTATCTGCAAGGTCCCTCAGTCGAGCAGTGAATTTCAAACACAGATTCAACCACAGAGACCAGGGAGGTTTTCCAATGCCTCGCAAAGAAGGGCACCTATTGGTAGATGGGTAAAAAATAAAAGCAGATATTGAATATCCCTTTGAGCATGGTGAAGTTATTAATTACACTTTGGATGATGTATCAATACACCCAGTGACTATAAAGATACAGGCGTCCTTCCTAACTCAGTTGCCGGAGAGGAAGGAAACCACTCAGGGATTTCACCATGAGGCCAATGGTGACTTTAAAACAGTTACAGAGTTGAATGGCTGTGATAAGAGAAAAACTGAGGATGGATCAACAACATTGTAGTTACTCTACAATACTAACCTAATTGACAGAGTGAAAAAAAGGAAGCCTGTACAGAATAAAAAATATTCCAAAACATGCATCCTGTTTGCAACAAGGCACTAAAGTAATACTGCAAAAGATGTGGCAAAGCAATTCACTTTATGTCCAGAATACAAAGTGTTATGTTTGGGGCAAATCCAATCCAACACATTACTGAGTACCACTCTCCATATTTTCAAGCATAGTGGTGGCTGCATCATGTTATGGGCATGCTTGTAATCGTTAAGGACTGTGGAGTTTTTCACGATAAAAGAGAAACGGAATGGAACTAAGCAGGCAAAATCCTAGAGGAAAACCTGGTTCAGTCTGGTTTCCACCAGACACTGGGAGATGAATTTACCTTTCAGTAGGAAAATAACCTAAAACTCAAGGCCAAATATACACTGGAGTTGCTTACCAAGAAGACAGTGAATGTTCCTGAGTGGCCTAGTTACAGTTTTGACTTAAATCTACTTGAGAATCTATGGCAAGACTTGAAAACGGTTGTCTAGCAATGATCAACAACCAATTTGACAGAGCTTGAAATTTTTTAAAAAAATAATAATAATGGTCTGATATTGTACAATCCAGGTGTGGAAAGCACTTAGAGACTTACCCAGAAAGACTCAACTGTAATCGCTGCCAAAGGTGATTCTAACATGTATTGACTCAGGGGTGTGAATCCTTTAAAACAAACAGAATGGAGCTAAGCACAAGCAAAGGCAATATATTTCTGTATTTAATTTTCAATAAATGTGCAAAAAAATGATAAATACATGTTTTCACTTTGTCATTATGGGGTACTGTGTGTAGTTGGGTGAGATTTATTTTAGTATTTATTTTATTTTAGTATTTTGTAAAAATAAAATGTGAAATAAATAGTTTCTGAAGGCACTGTATCGAGATCCTGGACAACACATAACATGTCAGACAACTATCAAGATCCTGGACAACACATTAGATCATATTACGCATGACTGTAAGTCGCTTTGGATAAAAGCGTCTGCTAAATGGCATATTATTATTATTATTATTATTATTATTATTATTACAGCATCAGAAAACTAATCAGAAATACTCAAAGAGCATCCTATCGTGAACCCATACACACCCTCACTTTACTTTGTATCATTATCATGTCTGTGTTCGTGGTGTTTGACCTACAGCCTATAGGGAACCAGACTGCACAATGGGTCTTGTGTTCCTAGACCAACCAAATAGTTCTGCCAGTAGCCCAGTTCGATCTGTAATGATGGTCCAGCAACATATGTGTTGTATTACCGCCATCTGGTGGCTCTGCTGGTCAACTGCACCCAAAGTGAAACACGAAGTCACTCCTGGTTTTATTTTCTGCAATCCTGACGAATCCTGAGACCATGTGTAGCCGTGGTTACAACATCCCTTTCTCCCCCCCTTAAATCTGTAGCCGTGGTTACAACAACCCTCTCTCTCCCCCTTAAATCTGTAGCCGTGGTTACAACAACCCTCTCTCTCCCCCTTAAATCTGTAGCCGTGGTTACAACAACGTTCTATTTCCTCCGTCTCCTTAACCCAGAACATCACCAGTATGTTGTCAGTACGTTGCCATAACGTCGCCGGTACTCACAGCCTCTGTCCGTCGTTCTGGGTGTAGAAGCTGACGGACTTGATGGTTGCAACAACGACCACCATGCAGAGCGTGACGGGGACGAACAGCATGATGACGTGTTTGGCCCCGTACTTCAACGGCAACTCCTCATCCTCCTCGCTCTCTACCACCTGGGAGGGGCGTTGTCGGGGGGCTGTGGAGGGGGGCAGTCCATTCTGCTCCGCCCCGCCCCCACCACCTCTGGACCGTACCCTCAGCTCCGTGTGCTGGTTCTGGGTTGACGCCTCAGTCGCCTGGAGAAGGAACAGAGGGTGACATATTTGACAGGGACAGGGGAAACGGACGTTGATCAAATACTTCTGTAAATGTTTCCGTTCACAACTGTGGGGACAGTCAGCATCCAGCATTACAGAAGAACAAGGCTGATATCATGTAGCCTGGGTCCCAGGTCTGTTTGTACCGTCTTGCCATCTAAAAATGACAACCACATGGGACCAGGCTACATATCATTCACTGAGTGAACCAAAACCCTCCCATTTATGGAGGTAGGAAGTCACCAGCGGTGACAGTAGCTCCAGTAATAACAACAGCATTACTGTGTCACACTTATCAGGCTAACCACGTTTGTGTATCCAGAGCCGTGTCAATATGCGTTTGTTGTCAATGTTTTTTTCAGCGTCAAAATGGTGGCAGTTGTGAAAAAAGTCAATAGTTGGAAGAGTTGCAGAGCTAATTGAAAATAATGCCATTGTTGATTAGATGATTTTTCCTTTAATTAGGCTACTTTCTCCAGAACCACATGGTCCATCTACTAGACACTCATGGATATATCTTAACTACCAAAATTACTGAAGATTCCGGTAACTTTGGTAAATCACCGGTAGCTTTGCACCCCAAGCTACAGCATGTAGGTCTAATGCTTTATCCTTCCTTCTGCTTATCTTCTGAATAAAAAAACGGTTCAGAGATTTCCGAAGAGGTTTCCTGGTTAATTAACTTCTCAATATCACGTAATAAGAATTTGCTCCACCGAACCCGGTCACAGCCGCTGTCCTTCACCTGAAAGGGTTGTTTATGAACGGAGGTTGAGACGGAGAGAGACTCTTTCCGTCAGCTGAGAAGGTATGCATGTACTGCCTTTCCATGCAATTTGAGGACAACAATGCAATAAAAGCAACTGGACTACTGTGGTAACATGTTGGCGTGAGCCGCTTCACGTGTGTGTTGTGGTAACATGTTGGCGTGAGCCGCTTCACGTGTGTGTTGTGATAACATGTTGGCGTGGGCCGCTTCACGTGTGTGTTGTGATAACATGTTGGCGTGAGCCGTTTCACATGTGTGTTGTGATAACATGTTGGCGTGGGCCGCTTCACGTGTGTGTTGTGATAACATGTTGGCGTGAGCCGCTTCACGTGTGTGTTGTGATAACATGTTGGCGTGAGCCGCTTCACGTGTGTGTTGTGATAACATGTTGGCGTGAGCCGCTTCACGTGTGTGTTGTGATAACATGTTGGCATGAGCCGCTTCACGTGTGTGTTGTGGTAACATGTTGGCGTGAGCCGCTTCACGTGTGTGTTGTGATAACATGTTGGCGTGAGCCGCTTCACGTGTGTGTTGTGATAACATGTTGGCGTGAGCCGCTTCACGTGTGTGTTGTGGTAACATGTTGGCGTGAGCCGCTTCACGTGTGTGTTGTGATAACATGTTGGCGTGAGCCGCTTCACGTGTGTGTTGTGATAACATGTTGGCGTGAGCCGCTTCACGTGTGTGTTGTGATAACATGTTGGCGTGAGCCGCTTCACGTGTGTGTTGTGATAACATGTTGGCGTGAGCCGCTTCACGTGTGTGTTGTGATAACATGTTGGCGTGGGCCGCTTCACGTGTGTGTTGTGATAACATGTTGGCGTGAGCCGCTTCACGTGTGTGTTGTGATAACATGTTGGCGTGAGCCGCTTCACGTGTGTGTTGTGATAACATGTTGGCGTGAGCCGTTTCACATGTGTGTTGTGATAACATGTTGGCGTGAGCCGCTTCACGTGTGTGTTGTGATAACATGTTGGCGTGAGCCGCTTCACGTGTGTGTTGTGATAACATGTTGGCGTGAGCCGCTTCACGTGTGTGTTGTGATAACATGTTGGCGTGAGCCGCTTCACGTGTGTGTTGTGATAACATGTTGGCGTGAGCCGCTTCACGTGTGTGTTGTGATAACATGTTGGCGTGAGCCGCTTCACGTGTGTGTTGTGATAACATGTTGGCGTGAGCCGCTTCACGTGTGTGTTGTGATAACATGTTGGCGTGAGCTGCTTCACTTGTGTGTTGTGATAACATGTTGGCGTGAGCCGCTTCACGTGTGTGTTGTGATAACATGTTGGCGTGAGCCGCATCACGTGTGTGTTGTGATAACATGTTGGCGTGAGCCGCTTCACGTGTGTGTTGTGATAACATGTTGGCGTGAGCCGCTTCACGTGTGTGTTGTGATAACATGTTGGCGTGAGCTGCTTCACGTGTGGGAAGGTATTGGAAGGAAAAAGCAACAAAGGACTTCCTGTACCAGAGACTGAGAGGCCACGCCCTCAGAGTCTCCACGGGCAAAACTAATGAAAGGTTTAACACGCTCAATGAATATAGTCCAAGGGCCACCCACCAAAAAAGGCTTCAGAAAAGGCATTCCATGACCCAGGAAACAAAACTGACAAGTTTCAACATAACATACTTTTATGAATATGAACAGTGTGAGGTCCAAAACGTGTAAAATTTGCACATTAAATAAATATTCTAAATTAAAAAAAGGTACAATTTCAAAATCATAGCGCATTTTGGGTAATTTCCCCTAGCAACATGAGGTTGCCATCTTACACCTTGTTACACATGTTCCGTTGTCCACGTTTGCAGAAAGCAATGCATGTACCAGGCGAATCCCGAAATAATACGAGATAAGAAGCTGTTAAAAAGTGCAACATTTATTTTTCTCAGATGCCAGAACAGCGCTTTATGTTTCTGTCGAGACCTTGAATGTTTCGAGAGCTGTGCTGTCTTTAGTTTGGCTAGCAGGCAAAAGCAATGAGGCCCTTGTACACTAAATACAGAACGATGTCTTCTATTAACTAAGAAAACCACTGCACATAGTTAAAACACATTTCCTCGTTTCGGGGTCCATCTGGATCAGTGTAGGACCGGTAACATGTGATGCTTGAGCTTTATGCAAGGACGAACACCGAACGCACAAATAGTTCTGTGTGCCAGCGTGCAACAAAAGTAACCAAGGTGAAACACAGCAACATCGCAACATCGCTATGGAAATTACCCAAGATGCGCTGTGATTGATGCTAAATATCGTAACTTTGATTAAAGATTAATGTGCAACTTTCAGAAGTTTTGAATAAGACAGTGTTGATGTTCATAACATTATCTACAAAATCTTGAAATTTTGCAGTTCCATTTCCTGCATCACAGAACAACACATTTTTGATGGGTGGCCCTTGGACTAATAACATTCTCAATTCATTTATTTGAGTTCGCATAAATGACAAAGCCACTATACCGTTGGTTATGATCTACAAGTAAGTAAGTAGCCTTGCACGAACCTTGGCTTGTGTGAGCTGGAAGGGAGCAGGGCCTAAAATTAACACCAACCACATGCAGGTAGATTTTGTCATTGGCGGGTAAGAATGTCAAATTACGATTCCCTTGTTCTAGCAAGATTTCTGGCTCCCAGGTGTCTTTTATACAGGTAACGAGCTGAGATTAGGGGCACACTCTTAAAGGGAGGGCTCCTAATCTCAGCTTGTTACCTGTATAAAAGACACCTGTCCACAGAAGCAATCAATCAGATTCCAAACTCTCCACCATGGCCAAGACCAAAGAGCTCTCCAAGGATGTCAGGGACAAGATTGTAGACCTACACAAGGCTGGAATGGGCTACAAGACCATCGCCAAGCAGCTTGGTGAGAAGGTGACAACAGTTGGTGTGATTATTCCCAAATGGAAGAAACACAAAATAACTGTCAATCTCCCTCGGCCTGGGGCTCCATGCAAGTTCTCACCTTGTGGAGTTGCAATGATCATGAGAACGGTGAGGAATCAGCCCAGAACTACACGGGAGGATCTTGTCAATGATCTCAAGGCAGCTGGGACCATAGTCACCAAGAAAACAATTGGTAACACACTATGCCGTGAAGGACTGAAATCCTGCAGCGCCCGCAAGGTCCCCCTGCTCAAGAAAGCACATATACAGGCCCGTCTGAAGTTTGCCAATGAACATCTGAATGATTCAGAGGAGAACTGGGTGAAAGTGTTTTGGTCAGATGAGACCAAAATCGAGCTCTTTGGCATCAACTCACATTTTACATTTACATTTTAGTCATTTAGCAGACGCTCTTATCCAGAGCGACTTACAGTTAGTGAATACATTATTTTTTATTTAATTTTTTTCATACTGGTCCCCCGTGGGAATCGAACCCACAACCCTGGCGCCATGCTCTATCAACTGAACTACATCCCTGCCGGCCATTCCCTCCCCTACCCTGGACAACGCTAGGCCAATTGTGCGCTGCCCATGAGTCTCCCGGTCGCGGCCGGCTGCGACAGAGCCTGGATTCGAACCAGGATCTCTAGTGGCACAGCTAGCACTGCGATGCAGTGCCTTAGACACACAACTCGCAGTGTTTGGAGGAGGAGGAATGCTGCCTATGACCCCAAGAACACCATCCCCACCGTCAAACATGGAGGTGGATACATTATGCTTTGGGGGTGTTTTTCTGCTAAGGGGACAGGACAACTTCACCGCATCAAAGGGACGATGGACGGGGCCATGTACCGTCAAATCTTGGGTGAGAACCTCCTTCCCTCAGCCAGGGTATTGAAAATGGGTCGTGGATGGGTATTCCAGCATGACAATGACCCAAAACACACGGCCAAGGCAACAAAGGAGTGGCTCAAGAAGAAGCCCATTAAGGTACTGGAGTGGCCTAGCCAGTCTCCAGACCTTAATCCCATAGAAAGTCTGTGGAGGGAGCTGAAGGTTTGAGTTGCCAAACGTCAGCCTCGAAACCTTAATGACTTGGAGAAGATCTGCAAAGAGGAGTGGGACAAAATCCCTCCTGAGATGTGTGTAAACCTGGTGGCCAACTACAAGAAACGTCTGACCTCTGATTGCCAACAAGGGTTTTGCCACCAAGTACTAAGTCATGTTTTGCAGAGGGGTCAAATACTTATTTCCCTCATTAAAATGCTAATCAATTTATAACATTTTTGACATGCGTTTTTCTGGATTTTTTTGTTGTTATTTTATTTTTTATTTTATTTTGTCATTTAGCAGACGCTCTTATCCAGAGCGACTTACAGGAGCAATTAGGGTTAAGTGCCTTGCTCAAGGGCACATCGGCTCGGGGATTAGAACCAGCGACCTTTCGGTTACTGGCACATCGCTCTTACCCACTAAGCTACCTGCCTACCGTTATTCTGTCTCTCACTGTTCAAATAAACCTACCATTAAAATTATAGACTGATCATGTCTTTGTCAGTGGGCAAATGTACAAAATCAGCAGGGGATCAAATACTTTTTTCCCTCACTGTACGTATGGTCACTGCGGGGACGACCTCTTCTCCTAACATGTATGGACCCAGAACTTAATCGAGCAGCTGACCAATTACGTGAGACTTTAGTTCTGGGTTAACCGAAATTACAAGGCCGCCGAGTTGGCCACAATCTACAAGTGAGAATACATCATGGACAAGCATTATTTCTCATAATTCAAAAATCACAGCAATAACTCACCATATTGTTCTCGACGTCCTCCACATTGTTGGCCATGGTTGGCAGAGCAGACGCTTGCCCTCACATACAAGCCAAGTTGTCCTGTCCTGCCTGGTATAACAGAAGCACTGTTAATACACGGCATATAATGGTGGTATAATGCATACAAATCAGAAGACGGCATATGAAATCACGCCAGGAACACTGCAGAAATATAACCCCAACATAACTGTTTAGTGTTCACATTTGTGGTTATGATTACTGGATTCCAGCAGACAGTTCCTCCTGTCCCTAACTAGGGAACTACTAGGCTGACCTGGGTGTTAGTTAACCCACTCCTTTATCCACTATTGACGATAGTATCTTCTGGCCGGGGAAATGTGTTAAGATCCCCGACGCTCGTTCTGAACGTTAAAATGCATTGCTTTTGGTACGGTTTTTGTAAACATAAAGGAACATATCTTTCATTTCAGCATTAAATCATTTTCAAACTAACTAAAAAAAGGTTAAATTACTAACTTACACACCTTTATAGGGTTAGTCTTCCCACACGGCCTTCTACAGTAAATGTATACTTTTTTTTATTTGAAAGATATCTTTCTCGCTGATATGAAAGGTAAGGGGCATATCTGCATGTGTTTCGATAACCGTTTAGCAAGCTATGATTATTGACGTTTCTAAATGTTAAAACAGTGTCCGAATTGTAGTTCACAATCACAAAGCCAACCACTGGCGAAGCAAACCGCTGAAAAACCCTACAAATAAGAAGGATTTTCAAGAACTACGTTAGCTAGCTGGCCAGCTAGTTAGCGAATTAACTAGCATAATAATTATTGGTACAACATACAATGGCTATATTGGCACACAACGCAAGAAGCTAATTTACTAATTCAGGTTGGCTAGTTTGGCTAGCTATCGGCTAGCTTGCTAGCTAGATAGCCAATGTGCATTGAGAGATGGTAGTTTTGTTGTCGATGTTTACCTACTATCACCAGGTGATACTTGCTTCTGACTACGATAAAAAAATGTCACAGAAAATGTTGAATTCTGTGTTAAAACCCTGCAATTGGGCCTCTCGTCCTTATTGTTCCTGTCTATTTTCAAGCATAGAGAATGACAGAGAAAAGCATTCCTATATAGTTCCTATTATGTTAAATTATATTCAGTTTCGGGCAGCGCCATTGACGCAATCTCCATTTTGAAGTAGTAAATGTTCTTCTTCATGATTGGCTGATCCCGCCCTGATGACCCGGTTTGGCATGACTCCAACAGGGGTCACCAGGAGGGATCAGCCAATGAAGTCCCACCCAGTTGACTACGTTAAGATGGCGGAAGCCCTCAATGGTGCTGCCCATGCTAATACGGATTTTCAAGAGCCCATCCGGCTACTGTACTTCCTCTCCCGCCCACAGGGTCCCTGGGACGTCCACACCCTAACTCATTGTTCTATCTGTGCCCTAACCCTTATGGAGGACTAAAAGTGCCACAATTAAATAAATAAATACACCATTAAATAATTACTTAAATGTGTCATTAATTAATTAAAATTAGAATTAAATAAATAAATGTGTTATTAAATGTGTCATTAATTAATTCAAATACCGATTCATTTTATGTAAAATACATATATAATTATTTCACTATTTACATTTACATTTCATGATCCTGCATTGCAGTGATTCATGAATTACTTAAAACTGTCAAACTGACCCATCAAAGTCAGTGGGCGGGGCTAACGCGAATCTAGTCTGATCCATTGCTTTGGTCTGAAGTAGAGTAGGCCAACCTGGATAGAGACAATGGACGATCTCCGTCAACTTTCCAGGGAGTTGGTTAGAGACATTTTAAACTTAGCAGAGGATGTAGAAGCAGGACCTGCTGACATTATCCGGAATTGATTTGTCTTGGCTTGATGCAGAGGGTAACCAATCAGGCGTTAGGTTCCGCCTACCAACTTTTGATGGGTCAGTTTGACAGTTTTAAGTAATTCAGGAAGCACTCCAACGCAGGACCATGAAATGTAAATGTAAATAGTGAAATTATTATATATGTATTTTACATAAAATGAATCGGTATTTGAATTAATTAATGACACATTTAATAACACATTTATGTATTTAATTCTAATTTTAAGTAATTAATGACACATTTAAGTAATTATTTAATGGTGTATTTATTTATTTAATTGTGGCACTTTTAGTCCTCCATAAACCCTTACCTGACCAATTTTAAATGTAAACTTCAATGGGGTAGGGACGACAATTTTAAACGTAAACTTCAATGGGGTCGGGACGTCCCAAGGATCCTTGTTTGCACGGACCCCGCCCACTATCACAGCACTTGGTGTGCATTTAGGATCGAAACGTTTTGTTATACTGCAATTTCTCGGTAACATTGTTTGTAGCAAGTGGTCATCGCCCTACAAGGTTTCAAACATAGTTTATTTTGAATCTTTTGTAACGAAATACCTTATAAAAACACACCGACACAGCCATACACGCCAGTTTCGAGGATTTTTGTAAAGTCGCAAACACATCTGCCAAAGGACACGGCCCTTCTCATGTTCCTATAGTTATTTTTCCGGTGTCAAAAGTAATTTCTGCTTTGTCGTTCTCCTAGTAAATGGCAGAGGTGGGACAAAGTCATTGTTATGCAAGTCACAAGTAAGTCTCAAGTCTTTGCCCTCGAGTCCCGAGTCAAGTCGAGTCAAAGATGAGGCAAGTCCCAAGTCGAGTCAAAGCCATCAAGTCTCAAGTCGAGTCCAAAGTCCTACCATTTTAGTTTCGAGTCATTTCAAGTCCTCTTACCACAGAAATAAAATGTATACAAATCATGTATGTCTGTAAGATTTGTATTTATTTAAACCTTTTTATACAATAACATTAATCAAATACAGCAAAAAACATAACATTTAATTTTCACAAAAAAAATGCTTGTATTTGAACAGCATATTGCACTAGAACAATGCAGAGAGAGAGAGAGAGAGAGAGAGAGAGAGAGAGAGAGAGAGAGAGAGAGAGAGAGAGAGAGAGAGAGAGAAAATGGTTTACGGGGAAGGACAAACACCAAAGCTCTGGAAGTAAAAACAGTGTGGGAACCTGCACTGCAAATGAACAGATCTTACTCCATGTGAAACTCCTACCACAGGAGAGAGAGAGCTGTGTGGACAGGTGATGAGCAGAGAGTGAGTGTGTGTGCGCGCATGCGTGCTGTGGACAGGTGGAGGGAGGCCCCTATACTGCATTGCATTTGCAAAAGATCAAATTGGCCAAAAGTCTGTCAGTCATTTGTGCACGATGGGGACGCAGAATGATGCCACCATGGCTGAAAACTCGCTCCACTGGAGCACTAGAAGCAGGCACTGCCAAGACTCGGATGGCTACTTGAAAGAGTGAAGGAAGAGTCTTACTGTTCAGTGCCCAGAACAAAAGGGCATTCTGTCCTTCTGCCATGTCAATGTAGTGACTTAGCTGTACTGCTGGTGGGGTCCCAACATCCCTTTTCTGCCTCTTATGGTATGCAGCAAACAGCCCTTCTCCTTCCATGTCCTCTAGTTCTTCTTCAGCAGGCACCGGCACAGGCTGCTCTGTCTCTGCAGCATCTTGCAGGATCAATTCTAAAAATAAAAATAAAAACGTGTCACAACAGCAGAAACAAAAGAGCCCTTATTTCTGATGTTGATGATACTGTTCAAGACTGAAATTTTTTATTATTGTTAAAGTCAGATTAATATCACATTAGATCCTATATCAGATTAAGATCAAATTATTGTACGTTGCATTTAAGTTGCATTGCAAGTCAATAATATTTACCTTTAACTCGTTGTGCCACCTCTGCCTTGATGTCACGGTTGACCAGCACATGGGGCTCAATCCACAGCAGACAAAAGGCTGGATCCAAGGCAGCTGCTTTCAGGTAGACTGTGTCTGAAAAGGGGGCAGTGATCCCTTCTTGAGACTGGGCCATTTTTACATTAATGAAGATCCCAAGAAATCTTTTTTTCAGGGATGCCTGCAGACCTCTGACAAGGCCACTCAGGAAACGAACTTGAGGCTTCAGCTTCTCAAGATGGTGATTGAGGGACAAGATGGATGGAACAACTGCACTGATTGTAATGACTTTCTCCCCCTGTGTCAAATCAGTTGCTTCTCCGAACGGTTTTTAAGATGTCCACCAACTCCTTCAGCAGATTCCACTCTCGTGGTGTGAATGACAGTTCTTTATGCCCGGCCTTCTCAAGAACTGCGCAGAGCTTTTGCTGATCACAATGAAGGACTGCTTTTACCTGCCGCAGTGTGGAATTCCACCTCGTGCTCACTGCAGCAGGGATGCCTCTGTGCTCCCCAAATTCACCATCGAAGATGTCTTTAAACGTTGTGCTTGTGTGGAGCAGGGAGCTAAGTTTTGATAACTTGGAGAGAGAAGGACATGCCGCTTTTGTTTCTTTCAAAACCGTCTCCCACAACCAGCTGCAATGTGTGTGCAAAACACTGCAGGCGCTGTTTCTTTGCCATAGCAGCATCGACGGTTTGCTGGTCTTCTTGGGTTAAGTCATGCCATAGCTCAGGATCATCAAGATTATCTCCAGCATCTTCATCTTCCTCCTGTTCGCTGGGGAAGCAGACTGTAAATGCCTTGCGCATGTTAGCAGCATTGTCACTAATTATATAGTCCAATTTAGCTTTGATGTTGTATTCATCACATATTGCCTCAAATTGGTCACAGATTCGCTCTGCTGTGTGAGAGCCTTTGAAGCGGTTGCAGGCCAAGAGATTAGTCTTTAGCTGTACCCACTCTGCATCTCGCTCCATCCAGTGCACAGTGACACCAAGGAATCCCCTCATCTTTCGATCAGACCAAATGTCCACAGTGACTGAAACATGGTCAGTGTTGCTCAATTGAGTTTTTAACTTTGACCGTCTCTCCTCAGCAAGGCTCTCTGTTTTTGTGGTCAGCGTTCGGCGACATACTGGGGTATACTTGCTGTCCAGCACAGCCAGAAAGTGACGAAAGCTCTTATTTTCCACAATAGACAGAGGGAAATTGCAATCAATAAT